TATATGCATATTCTGCACTACAGATAGAGTCCTTAATGTCTATGTGCCTTTCTACTCTGTCATCTGCACTTAGCACTCAGACTCTCCTATTAGTAGCTGCTCTGTCAAGTTTGAAGCACATTTGCTTTTATGCAATGAATTATATAGATCATGTAATTAGATACTACCCTAGGCAGATACAAATAATATGTGAATTTGCTGAAGCATTTCTTAGCATATAAAAGCTTAACTTTATTTCATTCAGGAAATCAGTATCAAGACTTTTGAGTCTTGCTACAGGAGGCAGGAGTCTTCAAGGTCTGCCAGTATTAGCAACTTCTGTTATCTTCCAATTGTTTTATTTCCAGAATAGCCTTACACTGTTTATTTTCTCTGCTTATTTTAAAGGATTTGCATTAAGGCTCCCCAATGGCCTCCCCTCCCTCTTCTGATGCAACCCAAGTAAACCTGACAGGGGAAAACTAAACCAAACTGATCAACCCAACCCTGACAATGAAAGCAAAGTGTTCTGTGACAATCCATCATTGGTATGAGAGCCTGCCTGGACAGCAGCACAGGACAATCTGAACAAGGGCTGCAAAGGTTGTTAGAAAATATGTAACTGGCAGGTTCTGCTCACACAGTGTCCCCAGCTCTTCACAGGCTTTAAAAGTAGGCATATAAAGCATAAAACCAGCCCCACCAAATGGCACATACAAGCAAACATAAGTGAGCAGAAGAGCCTGTGTCATAGCTTGCTTCAAACTACCACCAGGGACATCTTTCTTGCTGTGCAAAAGAAAAGGTTGCATTTAGGATTTCAGGTGAACAAGAAATCAAGATTGATATAATCTGAAGGCTTCAGTTTGGCACTAATAATACAACACAGTGTCAGGTACAAACATGTGATAAGTTTTCCCAAGAAAGTTTTTGGAACTGTAGGGAAAACCTTGCTTACATAGGGAGTACTCAATATACAGGTTAAAATTGTTATTAGTATCCACTTTTTTTTTTCCATTCAGTGCATTCTTTTACTATACAGAATAAGTCCTCTCTCCCCTGCTTCACTAGAACTCCCAAACAATCATCATCCTTTCAAACAATGTATCTGCTATTAGTAGACAAAGCAGTAATCAATACTGGGATGAAAATGTATCACCTTATTTCTCAGTGTTATCCAATGCTGCATCTCTTTCCAAGACCAGTAAGGTCTCTTCCTTAAGCCCAGTTATCTCACCTGATCAAGATGAAAACAGTCCTGTCTGTCTTACTGGCATTTTACAAGGTAGGCTGGGACCATCCTCCCTACCTTCACTCTTATGTCAGCTGGCTTTGTTAGAAAGAATAAATAATGACATGAACATTCTGCTAGAGAAGAAAATTGATCTACTTCCTGAATAGTCTCTGTATTTGGAAAATCATGTGGTGCTAAGCAGTATCCATAATGGGGAATTCATCCAGAAGATATGAGCTTCTCCTTTTCTGCCACAGCTGATGCACTAAGAACCTCCTTGCCTCTGCTAAGCACACTCTCAAAACAGTTTCATGTAACAAAAAAATATTTTATGACAATTTCAAGTACGTTTTCTGATGTCAGTTATTTTCACATTACAGTAGTAAGTCTGGTTTCCCCAATGCCAATATTAACCTCGTCACAATATCTTAAATATATCCCACCTCACAAAAGACAGACAACAATATAAGGAAAACTGCCTTGAAAAGTAACTGGAGAGGATATGTTAGAACTAGCCAGAGCCAAAATAACATTTACAATAGGTTTTCAACTGCCACACACTCCGAGCAGAATCTGACCACTGAAGCTTTCTCTCTTTTTGCAATGCCACACCAATTAATATATCAAAGGGATTTGGCACACAGCAGTCCCCACCCACCAAACAAACAACCTCATATCAGAATTTCCCCTATCATTAACCTCCTTCAGTTTACATAAGGAGCAAACACAGCCCACAAGAGCATGCTAGGAGGTTCTGCTGGGAAGGGCTGATCACCACAGCAGGGAACCCTGTCTCAAAGGTGACCACAACAGCTTTCTGCCTTAGACACGCTGGTGCCGGGGCCAGTTACTCAAACCACAGAAGAGTCACCCAGCCACACTCCACAACTTCACAGACAGATATATTTCTGCTCATGTTACTGTCTCCAGAAAGGGCTCAAAGTTAAGTTAATTCTGAATTATGCATCTGTAAAAGGAGTTAGGGGTTATGTTGAAGCTACTGCCAGGACATTCAGTTATGCACGTAGCCCACTCATTTTGTTCGATGCTGGAGTAGGGTATATCAGAGATTCCTGGACAGGAATGATGACAACAAAACCGAAATAATTAAGCTAGTAATATGCTGAAAACCAGCTTCTAGTATTGACAAGCTGTTACCTGACTCTTGTTTTATGCCTTTGTCCCATCCACAGCAACACTGCCACTGAGTGAACTGCTGCAGCTCCTAAGGCAAGGAAGCAAAGAGAGGCATCTTCTTGCATCAGGAATAAAAAAGCATACAATGTCTTTTGCTTTCCATGCATCACACCCTCTTGTCACCTGAGATTTCTTCATCACCCTTCTGCCAAAGAGATCATCAGTATCCTCTTTCCTTTGAGACAAACCTCAGCAGAGGTGAAGGAGGAAGCAGACACGCTGTTCCCAAAGCAGTGCTGTATCTAAAACTAATCATGCTGATCCTGAGCAACACAGAAGGAGCCACAAGATGGGGAAACACCTATTACAACCCTCAAGAAACCAAGATTTAAAGCAGACTACCTTAAGGAGGCTGCATGGACCAGCCTACTCAGAGTTTTATTAGGTTAGCAATATTAGGAACTGTTAGGAGGGAAGAGACTCTATCAGGTGACTTGTAAAATTCCAATAGGAAATGGCTCAAAGAGGATTTTGTCACGTTACAAATTTGTCCATGCTCCAAGAACATGGCACAGATTATTAGAACACCCTTCAAACCTCAGAATTTCTTCTGGAGAGGAAAAAAAATCCCATTGAAAGACTTCCATTATATACACATATAAATAACACACTGTCTGATGTTTGTGTGATGACAGTTGATGCCAGGTCTTGGAATCTCCCAGCTATGCAAGGCTATAGAATCCAAACTAAAATACTGCATCTCCTTGGCTAGAGATATAATTCAAGTAGTGTTTTAATATCTAAGACATGAAAAGCAAGCTCTGTGTGCCACAATTAAGCAGAAAAATCCATTTCATATGTAAGCTTCCAGCTTCTCAAGTTATAATATTTAGAAACTAGAAGAGACTTTTTATTGTAGCAGCAAACATGCTGCTGCAAAACATGATTACAGGCTGCTACAACCTGCAGTCTCTTGCATTTTCCACCACACCCTCTTGAACTGGAATTATAAATGGCAAAAGTTAAGCTACAGGGACAAAAATACTTTCTGACAGTCCTTTCAGACCACTACTGAGAGTGACTCTTTAGAATTTCTGTTCCAAGAAGGGTTCTTTTCCCTAGATGCTGTTTTCAAACTCTCATCTACAATTACTTACCCTGCATGCTTTCAGACCTGGCACTGATGTAACATTCCAAGGCTAAATACAGTGGGTTTTGTTTTCTACCTTCAGTAAATAAAATGGCTATTCTGTTACAGAAAAGTCAGTTTACTGCTTTTTGAAGCAGAAGATAAAACTGTCTGGTGAAAATATTTACTTAGGCTGCATTAAGATGGGGGCAGGAACTTGGAACAGTGCCTGTAATGATTTTACCTTCACCAAAGCAAATGCTTTGAGAGGAAAAAATCTTTTTAACAAAGAGAAGCTACTGGTCTACACTATATTGCTCTTAAAAGAAGCAAGTAGAATAACTCAACAAAATGCTGACCACATGCTGATCAAAGAACCTCAGGTCTGCACAAGCATACTCAGCAAAAGGAATGGTGTTCCTAGGGCAAGAAGCAAGCTGCCTTTTCCTTTGCAAGATATAGGGTATGCCTACACCAAGGACATTTTTATCAAAAAAAGTCTTTCGCAGTAGCAAAGAAGCATCAGAGTCGCATCATGGTTGGAATAATTTCAAAACATTTGAGTTGGAAATACATTACTTCATGAGGAACATTACAATGAGAAGCAATCTTAGAGAAGATTACCAAATCAGTGATAGAAAACCCTGCCTTCACTGAGGCCTGCAAAAATTTGTTTCTGTTGTAGCACTTGGAGTTCTCAGCACCTCAGACTCCACTTTTCATTATTTGTCCACATAGCATTTTGTGTACCTTATAATGGATAATTTCCTTCACACTGGAAAAAAAAATCAATGCCTACCAAAATCCTCACTCTTGAGCAGGCAGATATCTATATCAGCTGGAGCAACTATCTGACTGCTATTTATACCTGTGAGAGAGACAGCTTTCTCAGAGCCATCTGGGAATCACTACTTTCCATGCATGCATTTCTAGTCATGGCAGTTACCCCAACAGTAGCTACAGTAAAACCTCCCAGCACATAAACACTCAAGAACAACAACACATTGCTCCATCTGTGACACCACAAAGAAATTATAGAGCAATTTTCTGCTTTGTCTGTGGATTGAAACGACTTTTCGTGGCAGTAGGGCATAGTGTTGTTACTTCTTCTGGACTGCAGCTCCAAATACTTTAGGTACAACTTCAGCACTTGAGGGTGGTTGCACTCCTTTTGAGCCAAGTCCCTCACTTACTATGCATTAGTCCAGTCTGCAGTGGTTTTGACACTTGCAAACTGAATCCTCTTCTGAGGAAACCAAGGCAGACGTGTACAGGGTGCTCTTGGCTCCTTAGGGAATTGCAAAGGTCCATAACAATTTTGGCCAGTAATGAATCATTTATGTGGTAGAGGTATTCCATCCAGAAACTATGGTAAATCTAGTCCAGAGTAAAAAATCTCCAAACCACATATACTGAGGAATATGGGGCCCTCAGCAACAACTGTTTTAATCTACTCCTGAGTAACACAGCACAGGAACTGTGCAGGTCTTCCCAGGACAAGCGGGGTGCTAGATCTCTTACCTGACTCTCTCTTCTTCAGTTCTTTTAAGCTCTGCATCCCGTTGCAGCACCTTCATTATTGCCTCTTGTTCCTCCTCTGTCAGGAAGCTTAGGTCAATCATCTTGTTAGCTGGTAAAGAGTCTGGGAAGTTCTTGGATCTTGCTGAGGACAGTCTTGTAGCCTGCTTTAAAGTTCTAGAAGTCTTTTTCAGCAGACACTAACAAACCTGGACTGGGTTACAGTCAGTGGTTTAAAAAGTCACAAAGGTTGCTTTCTTGCATGTTTCCCTAGATGATAGACTTCTGGGAGAGTGTTGCATTCCTGCTTGCCATCACAATAATGTCTTCTCAGTTTGTCCTCTCAGTTCTGTTTCCTGGAGTAACAGTTCATTGACCCAGCATATCCAGCATTTGAGAACAAACAAAACATTCCCTAAAAAAGAGACAAGGAAGAACAAGTTGCAATATCAGGGATCAGGGAAGTAGATTATGTATGCATTTTTAATTAAAAGAAACAAGTTTTTCAGTGTGATTAAATGAGTTTATGAAGTTCAAATGGTCACTTCAAGTCAAACCTGTTTTACAGGCCTCTTGAACAAGGTGGCCATGAAAATATATTCCTCCCCAATAGGACAACTCACACCCTAAAACTCAGAAACTAGAGTCATACAATTGGTACACTTTTATTATACAAGTATATTTTAAATCACCCTTACAGTTAGCAGAACAATTTAAAGCGAAGGGGAGATAACCACATCCCAAAATAAGTTCAGAGTACTTATCACAATGATTTAAAGGAAGGAAGAAAAAAAACCCACAAAAAAAGGCCAAATCACTGTTCTACAGACCATATGGAATAAATGTGAAATAATTTATACATAACCATATTGAGTATGTGTAATTACAAGTCATGTGGTAATATGAACCTCACTGCTTTATACAAGCCAAACTGCATTTACAAGTAGTAATTTGAAATACTGTTTTGTCTCTGTTTCATAGGCCATGGTTTCAGAGGACTATCCACTTAGAAATAATTCCAACTGTCAAAGACAAAACCCTCTTCTCCAAAAACCCCTTAAAGGAATAGAGAGAGTGGCATGGAGAGGAGTTAGTTGTGTCTGTGGTAGGGTTATCTTAGTGCCTCAGGATTACAGCAGAGATAATTCCAACTGTCAAAGACAAAACCCACTTCTCCAAAAAAACCCTTAAAGGAATAGAGAGAGTGGCATGGAGAGGAGTTAGTTGTGTCTGTGGTAGGGTTATCTTAGTGCCTCAGGATTACAGAGACGTGGATGTGAAAGCCTGAGAAAAAAGAAATAAATAGCTCAAATTTACTGCTCAGAAGAATGCCTAGTGCCAAACCTGGTAAGAGACAGAAGAGAAACAGATGTTTTCAGTGGACATATCTCTGTACCAGGCAGCTCCATCACAGCCCTTCAGGGTTGTGGGTGTCTTCCTTTGGCCCATCACTGACACTGTGATGTAGCTGTCAGGATGCTGAACTCACATCGATCTACCAAGAACTACAATCCTGCAACGAGTCACTGCATTTGCTGCCCTGACCACAAGAGTGCAACCAGGCCATGAAAACAAGATATTGGCACTGGCAGGACTCAAAGGGAAACTTCATTCTGAAAATAACAGCATTTATTTTAGATTTGGTAGGGAGATGTAGCCACATTACTGATTATCCCCCCAAAAACTCCAATGCCCAACCACCTTCTGCATGTTTTTGTTTGGCTGCCATATTTTTGAGACAGAAGAGAAACAGATGTTTTCACTGGACATATCTCTGCACCAGGCAGCTCCATCACAGCCCTTCAGGGTTGTGGGTGTCTTCCTTTGGCCCATCACTGACACTGTGATGTAGCTGTCAGGATGCTGAACTCACATCGATCTACCAAGAACTACAATCCTGCAACGAGTCACTGCATTTGCTGCCCTGACCACAAGAGTGCAACCAGGCCATGAAAACAAGATATTGGCACTGGCAGGACTCAAAGGGAAACTTCATTCTGAAAATAACAGCATTTATTTTAGATTTGGTAGGGAGATGTAGCCACATTACTGATTATCCCCCCAAAAACTCCAATGCCCAACCACCTTCTGCATGTTTTTGTTTGGCTGCCATATTTTTCTCTATGATTCTCATTGTGATTTTGTTGCATGAGGTTGATACAACAGCATCTCAACCTAACAACCTGCCATCTGTAACTTCATTTGCCTTTAGAAAATTACAGGTTTATAACTAGGCAAAAATGAAAAGTGCTTCCTATACGACTACCAACAAATAGAACCATCCTAAGTTTGCTGAGTATCTACAACAGTACTCCTTCAGCCTAGGAACAGGTATGGATATTGGTTTCAGCTGTCATGTGGAAACTTTCTACACAATCTGACACAGCAAGCAGCATCCACACTGCTAATCTAAAGCCTTGGATGCTGGTTGAATGGCAAGTGCCCGGCCAACAGGCACAGAAGCTCTCGTGTTGCAACTACAGACCCTGAACTGCAGTAATCAAAGATTTTGCTTTGTTTCTTGCCCAAGATCAGTCCAGACTGCAAGAAACCTTTTTCGGGGAATAATATCTTATCACTTCTTTGGTCTTTTTTGTTTAAAGACTTTTATTTAAGGGAAGATGTGCTATATTATCTTAATATATTAATTTTAAAAATCTAAAGGAAATAGCTTGACAGTATTTACAAAACCACCTGCAGACTTCACTGATGTCCCTCAGCACTCAAATCAATAAAATAAGTGGAAATAGAGCTTTGATCCTCCCCAGAAGAACAACAGTTTGCAAGGGCACATCGAAACAGGCTGTGAGAGCTCACAGCAAGTAGCACTGCTACTGAACTCCCCAGATACCATCATTCTGGGCAGAATGGGTAGAGCAGTTTCTTCAGCTAGGGGTGCGCCCCCACTTTGTTTTCAATCAGAGGTCAGATAGCAAGTTACCACCCACCCTGGCATGCTCCTCACCCATGATTCCACAGTTCTTCATAAACAAGAAAACCTCTTTCTGTGTGTGTGGTGTATGGCCAATCTCTTGAGATTGTCTGATACAAGTAACTGCAAGGCTGGCTTCCTGTGAAAGATTATCAGCACTGATCCTAAACAGAGATGGTAAATCTGCTAGCTTAGAGTACAGAACCTGTAATAAAACTTAAAGTTCTTTTAAAAATAAAAAAGTGGACAAAACTGCAAGGCTGGCTTCCTGCAAAAGATTATCAGCACCGATTCTAAACAGAGATGGTAAAACTGCTAGCTTAGAGTATAGAACATGTAATAAAACTTAAAGTTCTTTTAAAAATAAAAAAGTGGACAAAAAACCAACCCAGCAATGTCTTTCCCCTGATCAATTCACACAGCCTCAATTATTTTGATTTCTTTTGACATTTTCTTCCTCTTAAAACCCCTATATGTGTCAGGAAGAATTGAGAGGTTTGAACAGTTTGTTTGGTGCCACTGCAAGTTCAACTGCAAGCATTTTTTTGTCAGGAAAGTTTTCAGACCTAAGTTTCAAATAAGACTGAAAGATCCTTATCAAACTGATTGACTCATGGAAATTGATACCACATTGACTGACTTCTGAAGTAGGGGTCTCACGTGCTATATATACTAACATTTGTGAGTCATGGCATACTTGGCATGACTTTTTTCTTAAACGTTACATTCAGGTAAAAGCACACCAAAAAATCCTCTCTTTAATGAAATACTCACGGTAATAAACAGGAATCTGAAATTATGTTTTATCCAACTCATGCATGAAAGCTGCTATGTTTGGGAATAAAAGAAACAGAAAGGCAACTCAAAATAGAGTTTTGCCCACACACACTCTTAAGCTGCTCTTGGTTTCCAACTGGTTTAGGCCGGGCACTCATCCAAGAATCTTATCTTGTAAAATTTCTCAGAACCTCTCAGACAGCTGTATACCTCAATTGCTTTAAGTCAGAATTCACATTTTTCTAAAACAGGAACGACCGAAGTAGGGGTCTCACGTGCTATATACTAACATGAGTCATGGCATACTTGGCATGATTTTTTTCTTAAACATTACATTCAGGTAAAACCACACCAAAAAAATCCTCTCTTTAATGAAATACTCACGGTAATAAACAGGAATCTGAAATTATGTTTTATCCAACTCATGCATGAAAGCTTCTATGTTTTGGCAATACAAGAAACAGAAAGGCAACTCAAAATACAGTTTTGCCCACACACACTCTTAAGCTGCTCTTGGTTTCCAACTGGTTTAGGCCAGGCACTCTTCCAAGAATTTTATCTTGTAAAATTTCTCAGAACTTCTCAGACAGCTCTACACCTCAATTGCTTTAAGTCAGAATTCACATTTTTCTAAAACAGGAACGACAAAAGAAAGACAACTTTGTCTACAAACTCATTAACCCTGCAGAGGGCTCTGCTTACCCCCACACATTGTGTATTTCCCCCAAATACAAAAGGGGAATGTTAATTTGAATACTGTATTACGGACACTATGGGATATTACATTACGTGGTACTACAATAATAGTTCAGGTGTCCAAGTTTTTACTCAGTGTATACCTATGGGATGCAATGAGGAAGGCAAGGAAAAGGTTGGAGTACTTTGCCATGGCTAACATTGAGTTTACCAACAGAGTCAGAAAACAAACAGCAAATCCCCAGAGTCAGCTGTTCCATTCAAACATACAAGCTCACCTTTTCCATGCAGAAACCTCATAATGTCATAAATTTACATTGCAAAACTACTTTTCAAGTGCTCCTTGTAGAGCAGACCTAAGCTGCTAAAGCTTTGATCCAGAGAATTTGTCTTGCAGCCAATGCCTTCTAACAAGAGGAAGAAGGTGACAGCCAATCCTACTTCTGGCTGCTTCACACAGCTCTGTGCCAACTCCTTCAGCTGAACAACTACCCTGCAGGCCTGGCTGATCAGTGACTGCTATCTACACACATCTTCATCCCATAATGCATCCACTTACTTGTAACCTACTGCCTCTTAAAAATAAGAGGGTTTGGATTTATGTGCTTGAAAGCTACAAATTTTTTTAACTATATTTCTCCACTGCTAGAACATACCAGGACTGGCAACTAGGATGAGTTGGAAGTCCACACATAAGGC